ATTAGGCTTTCATGAAGCTCTTGATTGGATTTTCATGGGATATGAAGAAGATTAGTTTTCTCTTGCTTATCTCTTTTTTTCTTTCCTGCTTGGTTAAGTGTGATGAGGATGAGTTTATGTTTATTTTTGGGGGCATTTGTTCTTTCGAAACCTTTTGAGATTCAGGCGACCGGAAGTTATTCGCTTGGTATTTTTCGGCTTCTCAGCAGCTTTTGATGTTGATGTCGGAAATAATATCAGGGGTATTATATAATTAAGAAATCTTTACTCCGAAGACGGTATTTTTATATTCAAAAGAGTCAATAGATGGCGCTTCTTAACTACGTAGAATTATTTTCCCTTACATGTCTCAAGTGATCCTGAATTTCAATAATGATTTTGCGAGTCACATTTTTCTAGTGGATATTGTAAATTGTATTTAAAGTCTTGAATTTGTTGCGTTTTCAGTTGTTTGTTGGGCATGTGCTTGGATTGTCTTTTGAAAATTCATGTGGTTGTATATTTATTTTTCAGTCGTGCATGTTTAAACTGTAATGGCAGTTATTCTTATTTTTTTTTTAGGAAAAAGGCTTACGACTTTTTCAAAATACTATGATGGGAGTATTTTGGTCGACATTGGGGTAATAGAAGATATTTCTAATGAGGTTTTTCGCATTAAAGATTTGCTGGAAGGTGGATTGGGGTAATTATTGAGTGTTTTGTGTGCTGGGTGTTTGAGTGTGTGTGTGTTTGAAGAATTTTTGAAAATTCACAGATCAAGTTGTATAATGCTTTGTTTTCTCTTCTTTCTTTTCCTCTTCTTTTCGTGGCTACTTCTTATTCTCGTTCTTTGCTGGCTGTGGTTGTTCCGTGTGTCTGTGTGAACCTTTGGTGTTGTTTGTTTGTTTGTTTTTTTCTACCTGTTTCTTCTCTCTTTTTTTTTATGTGTGTTTTGTGTGTGTGTTTCTTGTTCCTGTTGCTGTGAGAGCAGCTAATGGCGAGGCGACGTTGTCCACGGCATTTCCTGGATTGACCTTTCCAGGACTTGGTTAGTACCCAATGGTTATGCAATGCATGTGTCTTACATTTGGTCTAACACCTGTTTCCTGGGTAAGCTCAATGTAAGGAGTTTCAGTCGCCGTATTTTTGCATGGATGGGATTGGGTTTCGGATTTGGCAGCGCTTTTCGTGGTGGGAAATCCTCTATATAGCTTGCGTGAAATTTGCAGCCTTTTTTTCATATGCAGTAGAATCCTCTTTTTTATTGTTGATTGACAAATTAAATTCATTTTTAGGTCCTTGTCCTATTTGAACTACAATACTATTTGAATTTTTGTGTAACAAATTATTTGGTTTAAAACAAAGCCTTTTACTGGAGCCAATGGATTTTTTTGTGACAAGGTTTTGGGGTATAGTATTTTTGATATTTTTGTGGGTTTATTTCATGCCGCTTTAATGGCATTAAAATGGCTGCAAGTTTCAGTAAGGTGTTATTGTGGTGGTGAAGATGTTGAAAAGTGTTGGTTGTTTGGGAGGCCTTTGTATAATGAATGTTGATGTATCATGTCTTGAGAAATGATGTTTCTTGGTAACAATGTCCCCTTTTTAAGTGTGTATGCATCTGGATGTGCCATTTGTTTCCTCTAAAAAAAAAGTTGTGCTCTAATCTGTCAAAACACTGCAAGAGGAGGTTTAAAAGTTTTGTCAGTGCTGTGGAATCCCTTTTTATTGGGTATTAGCCAAATTTTAAAGCCAGAATCATAAAAACTATTGGGTGTTGAAAAATAAAACCTGTAGCAAGCCTATTCTTATTTTACAACATTTTCTTCAACTAATGCCATGAATTGAGATACTTTGGTCATTTATGCACATTTTAAGACTTTCCTCACATTCAGCACCACTGACATGAAAATTGCTCAGATGAGAAACCTTTTCAATTGTAACTTGAGTGATATTTTAAAATTGTCAATATGTTATTTTCTAAAACTTGATCCGTCTTGCAGATCTATGAAAATATTGAATTTTGGGGGTGAGCCTCATTTTTTGTCTTTGATTTTTATAAAAAAATTTGAGACATTTTTAAAAATTCCAAACAATATACAATGGAGTATCTTTACAATGAATCTGTTTAAAACGAGGTAATTCTTGCACGAATTTGTTCTTTCGGTCCCTCTCCAATATCCACGACGTTATTTCGATTTCGTTTTATTGAATTTATTTTATAACATGAGTTTTGTATGTTTTTTAAGATCTCAAACGCTTCGTTGTAACGAGATTCTGATGTATTGCGAAAGTAGGTGTCGTCAGACATGACTTCGTTTAACGAAGTACAGTAATTATTGTTACTCATGCTTCGTAATAGGTTTTTTAAAAAAAATACTGGGGTCGTACTAAAATTCTCGAAACTGAAGAACCTTTAGAAGCTTTAACACGGTTCATTCGAAATAATTCGCTTTGATTCCTGAGAAAATTTTTTGGTGCATACAATTTGTACTTCGAGTGGGTTTTCTGAAGTGAGGTGAAATCACGATAAATGTGAACATGGGAAACATGTTGAAGGGCTGTGAAAATGGGGGAAAACTAGGTTTTTCAGTGAATTAAACATTTCCGGAACCGATGGGGGACCCAGAGAAGTTGCCAATTGTAGGTTATGTGTACATAATAAAATAATTGTTTAAAATCCGCGGACGGTTCCTCTTGTTTTTATGCACTCTTACGCACGTATCCTTCCTTCCTTCTTCCTTCTCTTCATCCTTCCTGTGTGTGGATCGCGTGAAACGGGATTTGGTTCCGGAGTGATTTAAAAAGGACCGGAAGTCTCGCGTGGGGGTATTTCTCTCTTTCTCTCTCCCTTTTTTTCTTTTTGTGGCTTTGTTAAATGAGTTCGCGAAACCCGTGGAGAGACGAGGGCATGGAGTTTGTGCACGAGTATTTGCCGGTGTTTCGGGTGAAGCGGCCTTTTGTGGCCGGGACGCCGATGCCGCCGGTGGCGCCTGTGGCGCCCGCTGGACAACTCCCGCCCTTCGCGTACCCCTGGCCCAAGTACTTCAACCGCTACGGTTCGTCAATTAACGTGTCCCGCAGACTAGAAAAAAAAATGGATTATTCAAACCTCGAACCAAGATGTTGTCAAATTAATAAAAAATAATAATATGCTTGAAATACTGTATTTAAAAAAATACTTGATAACATCTCAAGAAAAAATCAACATTTGTGGGTCTAAATTTCCCCGTTTTGTAAGACGTAGGGGAAATGTAAGTCGATCTGTATAGAATTTAATTTTTAAAAAAAAGCTTCGCAAAATGTGAATATTTTTAAAAATAAATCACAAGTAAAATAAAAATTAGAAAGAACCGAAGAGTCCGAAATTTATGAAAGTATGCGAGATTCTTCTCTGAATTCTACTCTGTTCATGAAAGACGAATTTACCTTTTTTAAATCAAATTAAAGACGCAATTTTTTTCCAATGTCGATTAAATGGCTCTTGAAATCATGACGCGTGTTGAATTTTATATTTTGTATTATTTCAAGTGCATCATGGGATTGATCCTGGAAAACACAGCCTCAATAATTATATTTTTTTAATTATGAAGTAAGTAGTAAAACTAATTTGGGACTGAAAAGATTTCTGAATTAACCAGAGATTTTTTGTGGACAAATGAACTTTATTGCATCCATTATTATTGCGTCGGTAGCAATTTCAATTGCATTTACCATTTCAGTCTTTTAGTTTTGCTCATTTTGATCATGAAATGGATTTTATTCCGAAAATTGTTCTGCTGAATAGTGGGGAAACATGCCTTTTGACACGTGCTAAAAAAGGCATATTCGTGATTTTTTTTTTTTTTGCTTGTGTTATCGCGCCAAAAAAACGACGAAAAAAATCAGCAAGTGCTGAGTACACATTTTATCAAGGTGACTTATTTCCAGTACTTCGTTGAAATGCGCATTGAAGTACATGGGGATGTTGTCTTCGGAAATGGTAACAACCTGAAATGAGGCCGTGTAATTGAGCTGAAACGGGAACTGCTGGGAAGTTTATTAATCTTTTAGAAAAATGCGCGGGCTGCTTGAAAGACAATTTTCGAACATAATTGACACGGTTTCTGTGTATCTTTTGCACTTTTACAGTTCTGTCGCCGGCTGCTTACCCGCCTGCCACTTATCCCTTCACCCAAGCACTTACACAGCAAGTCTCTGGCATGCAAGTTGGACAACGGGAAGGTAAGAGCTTGTGAAATAAATTCTGTTTGCCAGTAGAAAATACATTAGCCAGTATTTAATATATTAAAAATGTATTCGCCATTTGAAGAAGCGTATTTATTTCGAGGGGCTTTACTTTAATTTATTTTTTCTTGATAAAGTAGCTTGTGGATTGCAAACATATAATTCAACATATGCTGTGAATTTCGTGGAATTCAATTTCTTGTGCTGAACAGCTTCAAGACAATTTATACTCATCTTTCTGTTGTTGAGATTTTAAAATTTGAGGTAGTGGTTATTTTATTTCAACATTTTTTGCTGAGCTTTATAAAAGAAAACTGAAGCTGCGGCAAACTATGTTAATTTCTTGAAGTTAGATTCATAAACAAATTAAATTTCCATTTCTTCTCCTGAAGAAGACATTTTACATGATATATTTTTTCATAATGAAGTCAAACCCTTCACATCACATGTGGAGGAATTTTTGCATTCAAGGTTAAACCAAGTTTTCAACACTTTAAATAACCGGTTCAAAAAGGAAATTTTAAAGAAATAGAAGCTGACGCGTGCATAAAAAACATCCTAGTCACAGTTGGAGCTGTAAAGACATACATTTTTATGTACTGTTGATGAATACTGCATGAGATCAGGGAAATTTTCTAGTACCATTGCATTAAAATCAAATCGGGATGTTTCCCTACTCCAATGAACCCTCTGGGATTCCAATTCTTAAAATGCTGTATATTTGTTCGGTTTTTAGGGTATTTGTCGGGACCAGAAGGCTGCAACCTGTTCATTTACCACCTGCCACAAGAGTTTGGGGATGCTGAGCTCATGCAGATGTTCATTCCTTTTGGGAACGTCATCTCTTCCAAGGTGTTCATCGACAGGGCTACAAATCAGAGCAAGTGCTTTGGTGAGTAGGAAAATATGTAGGATAATCTGTAAAAAAAAATGCCAGCCTTCTTTCACATAAAATAGAATGGAATAAAAGTCACAAATCACAGCATAAGGCAATTATTGAGCTCAAATTAAATGACAAGGTGTTCCTTCTATTCCAAAATAATTTTTTTACTGATCAAATAATTAAGAGAAATTCATGTGAAGCTGACAGTTTTTCCTGGTCCTTCCAAAATTTGGGGAAGAACCCTTCATTTTCAAGTTGTGAGAATCCCAAGTCTTTTAAAAAATCAGTCCTGTTGCTGTGGAATGCTGGGCATAAGAGAAGGTGTTCTGGTGTAATATTGGCATAAAATATACACACATGTACACAAAACACATTTATGCAGGATGTACAGGTAATACTGAATTTATACATAATGTATCATGTTCATGTAAAATATATGTACTGCATTCTGTTCATGAAATTCTGAAAGACACCAAATTGAAAACACATTTCATCAATCAGTTGTAAAATTAGGATTGCCTAGTGGTCTTTTTCTTTTGGTTCCCCAAAGACCAATAAATAAGGTATTACATTTTTTAAATATCCTTAGTTGTAGTGTCAGAGGTTTAGCAACTATGTTCAAATAACAAAATGTTCAAATCCAGGCTCCTTTTTTATGCTGAAACTTTATTTGCCTAAGGGCAGGATAATGGAAGCAAAATGTTCAAGCTAGATGTCTGCTAAGTCTTGTAATTAATATTTACTGTACTAAAGTAAATTTTGATTTTTTAAGGCCAGCAGATATTTATTTAAATGAACCAACAAACATTATTCCTTCACAGCATTATGTTGGGCAATACTGTACTTACCCATTTTCTGGGTACTAATGTCTGCTGCTCTTTTTTTTGCAGGATTTGTAAGCTTTGACAACCCTGCATCAGCCCAGGCCGCAATCCAGGCCATGAATGGCTTTCAGATTGGCATGAAGAGGCTAAAAGTGCAACTGAAGCGTCCGAAGGATTCTGCTCGTCCCTACTGAGGAGGAATTTAGAGAAAAATTTCTTTCTTCTCTGGAAAAACAACAACCAACAACACAGGAAACAACCCTCTGCATGAAAAAAATTGAAAGAAATCTCTCTTTGCAGCGGTTTTTTACTATCAGACGTACAATGGAAAATTCCCAGGGTTTTGAGAAATTGAGCGAACTCTTGAAATTCCCTTTTTGAAAGTTTTTTCTTACAAACCTCCCACTGTCATGGAATGAACAAAATAACGAGAGGAATACCTTGCTTTTTTGCTATTTTTCTCGGCACAAAATTAACTCTGCTCAATTGACCAAGGTTACCAAAGTTCATTTCCCAAATCCACTTGTTGGCAACCCTGGGTCACGCACTTAATTACCAATTTTAGCTGGGCTGGAGTTCGAATACATACTGACGCTGAATGACATTGATTCATAATATTTGTTCTCTGGGACGCTTTGACATTGCCAATTGCGTTTTACGTCTCTCTTGAATCATGACCAAAACAGTTTCAGTGCTGACCTTGGAATCTTTTGGTTGATCCAAGGTTTTTATTTTGTTTTCAAATAATTCAGGGTTGCCAACGTTTTCGAAGCAGTTTGCTTTTTATCCCTTTAGAAACCTGTTCTTAAAAGGAAAATCTCCACTGCTGCCCCCCTGGAGAACGAAAAGAGAAACTGTGTGGATGGATTTTAGGAAATCTTGAGGGTGGAAGACTTTGCCGGAACGGCGGTGAAGAAATTTTTATATTTTGCGAACTCGGAAACGCGGTGTTGAGTGTTTCATTTTTTTTCTCGACTTTTAATTTTGACATTTTTCATTTCCTGTTTTATCGCCCGCGTTTCCGGTGATAAGATGAGGAATGTCCCAGTTGTTAGAACCGGAAGCTTAGCACAGCTAGTCAGCGTTTGCACGTTCGCCACGGGATCTTTCAGGATTTTGCAGAATTTGGATCTCTGTACAGGCTTCATTCGCGAATCAAACTTGTGTATATCGCTCGAGTATATTTTCCAGCGACGGGGGGGGGGGTTGAAAAAAAGAGAAGGGCCTGGTGCCAAAAGCAGAGGAGAAAAGAGGCAGAGCAGCGCGAAACCAAAGAGTTTTTTCTCTGGGTTCCCCGAAGGGTACGTTAACGTACCCCGGGCGACTCCCTATCTTTGTCCTACTGGGATACTTGTACAGGAAATTTTATTGTAGACGCCCTGACTAGTCTTGAGGCCCGTTGTTGGGCTGTGACCCATGATTGACCCCCACCCCTTTTTTTTCTGCTTGGGTTGTTTTTCCCCACCAAGGAGAAGAGTGGCTTTTTTTGCAACACACTGGAAAGCTTGGAAGGTGGCGCCACAGTCTGCATGTATTCAATCCCTTCTTGAATCTGTATTCTCTTCATGCTCAAGAAGTTCTTTTTCAATTTCATAATGTTTGTGATTTAGCTGTAAACGTTTTGGAAGCGGGTTTCTAGAAAAGCCTCTGCTAAATTTGTTGACAGAGGAAAGATTCCATTCTTTGAGATTACCAAATTTAAGGATTGAAATGTGGAACCTTTGGGTCTCAATTTCTTGTTATCTGATGTTTTACATTTGAGATCATCTGTTGGTACTTGATGTACAACAAAAAGATTTTAAATGCACAAATATACACAAGGTTAGACTACAATTTGCAGTGACACCAAGTTCAGTATTCAATTGATGCATATTGTTTACAAGCAGAGGCGTTTGAAATTATTTGTCATAATTGTCTCATTTCTTGTCAACTGCAATTTCAGTGGCGAAAATTGCAAACTGAAAATATTGTGGTGATCTCATCTCATGGGTGCCATTTGAAAAACATCATCCCTCAAGAGTATATCAAGGCATTATGTTTCTGTGGGCTGAGAAAGCTACTCAATTCCTTGAAACCCAACTGAAAATTTGATTTCTTGAAAAGGGTTTTACGCCGCTTTTTCTTTGTCAAAAGCGGTTTATCAAAAAAAAAAGAGGATTGACAAAAAAACGGCGACCAACATATTGTATAGTTATTTTTATTATCGGAACCACGCACTGATTCGGTTTCTGCGACGGAAATTTTCCTCCTAAAAATTCTAGTCTTGAGAAATTGGCCAGGTTTTTTTCTGTTTTGCGTCGCAACTGCGCATATCAAGTTCATTTTTTTCAAACCGGTTCGCCGACGTTTCTCTTCTCCGGAAATTTTTTTTTCGTTTTTGTTCCTTTCGAGAGGTTGATTGCATGGTGATACAAGGGAAAAGAACCATTTGTAAATAAGAGTGGGAGGAATTTTTTCGGGGTGAGAGATTCGAAGGAGTTTTATCAGGCCTCCGTCTTTTGATCGACCAGAAAAACGCGCATATTTATAAGTTACAAGTCCCATGGCGGTTTTTTTCGGGCGGAAATTCGCACGTTTTTGGCGCCCCCCGCAACTTTTTTTTCAAGCGCGCAATTGTGAGAAGTCATTTTAAAAATGGGAGGGTTTCGCGAACGACCCAGCAAGACTTATTCGCAAGATGCAGTATTGGTTAAATAAAGTGAATCGATGCTTCATCAGTCTCACTTGTACTTGGTCAAATTTCCTGCCTCAAGAATGAATTGTAGCTTCGCTAATTCCTTCAACTCACGTTTATCTTTTTTTGCAGATACAGTACTGGTTTCAGTTGTGAGTTTCGTGCTTCTCAGCGTCATTGCCTGAAAATTTTTTTATGTTACCTACGCATGTTACCTAGGAATTCAGCGTATGAAAAAAATGTCGCGGAAAAAGCAACAAACGAAGTGTGAGACATTCATAAGTTACAAGTCCTATGGCGTTTTTTTTCACCTCATTCAGGAAAAAGCTGTTTTTCTTCCTGCTCATTCGAATGCAATCGTTTAAAAGATTAGTTCAATGCATTCAAATGCCCACGGGACGAATTATGGGACAAATTGATCTCAAAGTAATGTGCTAGTCAGAAAAATACCGAAGTCAATGAAAAAAAATCTAAAAATGCAGTACAGTAATTAAATAATGAAAACGTTTTCTTCAGTCAAAATTAATTTGTCACTATATTATATCTTATTCAAGGGATTTTTACCAAGGGACAGTAGCGTCGGAGGATGAAAAAAATTGATCATTTTCACAAAATAGTCGAACTCAGAATATCAATTACACGTTCCTTGAATCTTAACCTTTATGAAATACAGTAACTTCTTCGGGTCTAAAATAACGTAATCCTTACCAAAATATAATTCGACCAAATTCAAGTGACACCTACGCAACAGCGCGAAATTAAGAATATCGGACATTCGAGAGAGAGAAAAGCATAAAAATATAAAAACAAAAACACACGAAACCAAAAGTAGTCAACCACTGGTTTGAGCCTCAGTGCTAGTGCAGCTGAGCTTCGAGTCATCGCGGGTAGATGACGCACGGATCGACGGCGAAGGAGAAGGTGTGTAAGACGTCACCAACGGACACGGTGTTTCAGCCAGGCGGTGGAATTGCGCCCGCAGGGCCTCTTGCAAAAACCGAGGATTCACAGCTTGACAGGCACCAGAATGAGACCTTTTATTCTCTGAAAGATAAAAGAAGCACTTCTTCAAAACTAATCCACTCGAAAAAACATCTCACATCGTCGATATAAAACAACAAGCTAAAATGGTTACAAAAGGGACAATCTATCAAAGCGGTTTCAACCTCTTCTTCTGGATTGTATCACTTTAAAGAGACAGTGTTTGAGTTACATGTCACATTTGCACTTGAATGACTATGAATAACAAATCAGTCAACAAATGAAATTAATTTCCTACGCAACACTCCAATTTTAAATCGAAATTCCAATCCGTGAGTAATTTTTTATTCAACTGACCAAGAACGTATCCAGCATCCTAATCTATTTCGGCTTTCACTTTTTAATTAATTTCCCACACATCATCCACTTCTGCTGATGGAAGAGTTTGGATAATTTTGACTGACAAAAGAAAATATGAAATGGGCGCAACGTTGCTCAGATGCCTCGTAGGCAATTTTTTGAGATCCACATTCGTAATTACTCAAGTATAATCGAGAGAATATCGGTACTCACCTTTGGAGTTCCTCAAAAAAAAAAAGCACACGCACACTCACACAGAAGTAGATACTGTAGTTAGAAAGTGACTCGCGAAAATTTCGAAAAAGGCTTTCAAAAGTGCGTACATGTTCATCAGCAGAATAAAAAATAAATAAATTTAAAAAAAACTCACTGTTGTGCAATGGATTCTCCTCATCAGGTGACGAGGACTGTTTCGCCTTCTTCGTCCGAGGAATCAATATCTTGGGCGTTTCTGCCGTTTGGTGATGGTTGCCATTGTCCGAATCAAATTTGCACGGAGAAATCTCGAGTGCTGAAGTGTTTCTGCTGGAACTACGCCCTTTAAATAGCAGCAAAAAAAAAAACGAATCAAATCCACGTAATTAAAACCAACAATAAAAATGGTCCAAAAAAACACGAACTGCTGCATGTTGCTTCGGGCAAAGAGGACCCAATCACTGCGATATTCACGGAAACTGACGGCTGCAAAGGTACATCAGTCTGCCCGCAACCCACGCCCAATTGGGCCGGTGTCTGCACTTTCGAGTTCTCCATGCGACGATTCATTGGGCTTTCCCTGGATATCGTTCCGCTCTTGATCGCTTGAACTGATGATTCTACTCTCCAAGATGTCGTCTTCACTTCCGATGCTCTACTGGTCTGTGAAAAACGGAAGGAAAACATTATTACATTGAAATATATACTTTCCCTCCTGATATGAGGGAATGTACGTGAACGGATGTAGGAAACATTGTTTGAACCTCGTGAACGCTGAACAACGGAAAATAAAGTTTATCATCAAATTGCAACAACAAAAACGCAGAAATAACCCTAGTTGCAACCAACGTTGGACACTGCCCCATTCCGAGTGTGGAGAAAATATAATACAGGGAACGGATTTATTTTCCTATTGACTCAAATACCAAGAGCTTCTTTTTCCCACACTTGAGAAGAAAAAAGGCGGAGTCCATTATACGTGGGCATACTTTTTTTCAAGTTTTAAAATTTTAGGTGTGCATTATACTTCATTCTGATGCGAAATGTTGCACCAAGTGGAACAGAAAAAATTGTTTTAATGGAAACAATTGAAAATTTGTTGAATTCACGTCTAAATTCAAATTTGGGTGCTCTTATTCTTAAAATATTTCAGTCAATAAAAATGGGAATCTGATCTTCCGCAGGGATACAATTTTGTAAAAAAATTTCAAATGAAAAACCCTGGTGTGCATCTTACTTATGAGGGCGCGCGGTAAATATGGCACTCGTGCTGGTTAATCATTGATTTCAAGCAAAATCCCGTAAAATCTTCAAAACATAAGACAATTTTTAAATGTTCGAATTCCTCAAAATTGAAAGAACCTGAATGGAGGCCGATTTCGAGCTTCCAGCAGCAGTTAAAGCAGCAGACAAGTCCTTCTCCACTTGCCGGACGCCACTTTTGGTCTCATCTACAATCTCTTCAACATCGTCTTCTTCATTCACGACGTCGTCTTCACCGTCCTCGCTTCGACGAGATGACTTCCCATTCCAAAAAAGGGCGTCGTGGACTGCTTGACCCGATTTCCGCACATAGCTCATGAATGTCGACGACAATGTTTCCGCAAGTAACTCGACGCTGCTTCTGGACTTGACCGGGGTTCGTCGAGGCGTCGAAGTGGTGCCAGTTGTGGAACTTGTCGGGGGTCGCGACGTGGTTGACTTTAGCGTCGATGACCGAGCAGCTTCCACAATAGCCTGTAAAACACAGGTTTTCAAAATATTCTAAAATTCACAGTCCAATAAAAAATATAAAGCAAGGAAAAATGTCAGTAGCAGTGATTATATAAATCAATTGCGACTTGCTTATGAAAAGATAAGCAAGAAACAGGGTCGAAGAGAAATAAGAAGCGAATAAAATGCTAATAACCCTAGAAAAGGACCCCTTGAAAATTATTCAAGCAATTTGATTCGATCACCTTTTGACACAAGTTGCTACCGATTCTCCACAGAATTTCAGCTCCAATGAAAAACAAAGCAAAGAAAAGAGTAAGTAGCAGTGAAAATAAAAATAAATTGAAACTTGCTTTTGAAAAAATGACAAATTACGAATGGCCAACGAGAAACAGAGCGAATAAAATGCCAATAACCGCAGAAAAAGACCTCTTGAACATAATTCCAGAGATTTGATTCGCTTCCGTCCTTTTGACACACTTTTCTACCGATTTTCAAGAATATCCGCATGCTTACTTCTTATTATTCAAGATTACAATTATCTGAATTGTGGGTGCAGAGGAAGTTTTGGGGTTTGGTTAAAAAGCAACACACCAAAATGAAGCGGATAATCTTTTCTTTCGATGCGACGTTCAAATAAAAAATAATAAACTAGGCTGATGTTTCAATTACAGTATTTGGTCAATAAAAAGCGAATTTTACCATCTCGCAAAAAAAAAAATAGCATTTTCTGACGCCTATACACGGACTCACTGCGCTAGTAACATTGTCCTGGGCGACAGACGTCGAATTAGAGCTGTATCCCGCGTCTTGGCTAACTTGACTCGTATCCGCTTCCCGCTCCGTCTTCGTCACGGACACTTCCGCTTCCTCAACGTCTTCCGCTTCCTTTTCGCCCACTTGCTCCTCCTCTCTGATGACTTCGCCATTCGCAACCGGTTGTTCCCCGCAGATCCAGTTCGGACACATGAGCCAGTTCGTGGACCCGTCAGCGAGACCCTCGTCCTCGTTATCCCCAGCAGGATTCTCCAAGTTCTCATCAGGATTACTCGAAGAGCTTTCGCGGGAGCGCACTTGCGTCGTTCCCGGCTCATCATAGGTAATGTTGGACGTGACTTGATACGGCTGTTCTGCCTGAAGAACACTGAGCTCTAGTAAATATTCTGGATTGTGGATCAGAAAGTACTGGTTCCACCGTCGCACTCGCCTACGAAGGGTCTCGAGGTTTCTGCAGTTGGACATTTCGTCATTTTAGGAAACGTACTAGATTTTAAATGGAAGATACAGAACATACTCCCATTGAAAGAAGCGTGAGCAGGAAAATCTTCCCGCAAATCCCTAAGCCCTCGCAAGAAAGAATGAAGAAAATATCTCCACGGGATTATCTCAACAAGCGTAACTAAAACCAGAAAATTTGACATCTTTCAAGAGATCCCAAACTAATTTCAACGTGATGACTCAAACATGGTACATTTTGAAATCAAGATACACAACACACTTCCATAGAAAAAAGAGTAAGCAGGAAAATCGTTCTGCAAATCCCTATAATCCCTCGTAAGAAAGAATAAGGAAAATGTCTCTTCGGCATTATCTCAAAAAGCGTAACTAAGCCCAGAAAATTTGACATCTTTCAAGAGAATATAATTTAAACTGAATTAAACACTTTTTTCAACGCGATGGCTCAAACCGAATAAAAATCGGCCCACCTTCCATACTTCCGAAAAATTAATCTTAAAACGCTATCCAGTAAAATAAAATCTAAGGAATTGCTTATGAAGTGCTGCAATAAGATGGAACCAGACTTTCCATTCATCATCAGAGACAAACCGAGTCTGTTCGAACAACGGCGCCTTCGTTGTTCACATAAACGTTAATCTCAACAGTTTCCTCGACGTCCCCGGCGCCACGAACCGCATTAACAGACCACTGAACGCCTCTAGCCACCAACACCGCCACATGGACACCAACGTCAACAAGGCCCGTCGTCCAGATGGCAACGCCGAGTGCAAGAGCAATGTTGAAGCACGTTTGAAGAAATCCGGGAAGGTGGAAGTAGGAAATTAACAGACGAGCCGCGGGCAAACAGTCCTCCTTTGCTCTACATCTGGGACATTAAAAAAAAGTAGTCGAATCAACAAGGGAAAAATTATAATTTATTTGTATTGACTGGTAAGGGTTTCGGGTTTTATGATGACTGAAACAATTTGGGAATTTTGGATACTAAAAACACTGCCGAACTGCCAAGAAGGTCCAAATGCGGACTAATAATTTTAAAAATTCGTCACGGTTCATATGAAATACAGGAAGGATTCAGATAAATTAATGCAGTAATTTTAATTAAATTATTCCTTCTGATTCAAACAAACTTCGACACAGACAATTTAAAATCGCCACAAAAATGTTTCGAAAAAAATATATTTGCACTTAAGCAACGTACTTTCCGGAAACAAACCAAAAGGTGCCGACGACCATCGCAGAGAATAACATCAAAATCCGACGCGTGGCACGAATGTAGCCGCTCATGACCTTGTTGCGTTCAATCTCTGCCAAAATTTCTGCCTCTTCTCGGGTCATGGTCCCGAATCCCGGCTGTTCGTAGTGACATGTTTCGCACAGCACCTTCCTCCCACAGTCGCAAACCGCTTCCGGCATTCGACCACTCCTGGACATCATGCCACCCTTCCTTCCTAGAAGTTAAAAACCCCCATGCGAATTTTAAACAAACGCATACTCATTTCTAAGAAGCATGAAACTTAAAAACGAACTCCCGCTAAAATAAATACACTGGGCTACCTAGACACGTTAAATTTTCCCAATATGTTTTGCTGGTTCAACAAAATAATGGCACAATAACCCAAAATTTTTTACACGAAGGGGGGCTCACTATTTCCTTCTTGGGACAAATAAACATTTTCGCTTCTTAAAAATAGCTCAATTCGCGATTTTATGATCAGATCCGTGGAAACTCCGGCCCTCAATCTTGCGACAATCAAATAATACGGAAAAATGAATCGAAAATTGTGAGAACTCTGCATCAACAAATAGAAATCAGTTGTTCGGCCTCAGTCTAAAACCTTTTGGATCTAAAACTGATGATCTCCAGCCATACAAAATAATAAATTGTTTATATCTCACGAATTATGTCCAGTGATGCATGAAGGTGCGCCTGACTTTCCACCGGGATCTCATGACTGCAGCTCGTGTCCACCAGAACAAACGCTTCTTTGGACATGAAGGCTAGCTGAAATGTGTCACCGTAACATATAGGCGTAATAGATTAACATGATAAGGTCGCCCACAACTCGGAAAAATCGATCCGCGCAAAGACAGACTAAATCCTTGTTAAGGTTCTATAGCCTCTAAGGAAAAGAATTTTGAGACACTCATAGTCTTTCGACTGAAGCGAAATTTATTCAGCGACCACAAAATAGTTCAACTTCAGAAGTGTCGAAACTTCCATTTACAGAATACATCCAAAAGGAAAAAGGGGATTTAAAAAAAAGACATTCATACGAATACCACTTTCTTACATTGGCCAAAAATCGGGGAAACTTTCTCTCAAAAATAGCAGGACAGTACGAACGACTCGCACACGATTATTTCTGTTCAAACGCACTTCGACTTCTACGCAGCAGTTTCATCCAGTGTTCCACGCAGAGGAACAGTGGTAAAGGTTACTACTGCAATTGTTCTCCCAACATTTTCGATAGTGTATCCGAGACCTGCAAAAAATTGTGTTTACACAGAGGATCAGGCCTAGGCTATCAGTTTTCTCCCTGACCAGACAATTGAGCGCGTCCCACAACAGCACGTGACCAGAACAGCGAAGCACATGCGCAAAACAGTTGCTCAGTGTCGAGAAAGAAAATTTAGCACTGAAATTGAATTTCTTACGGCAGGATTCGTAACCCGTTGTCTCGGCGATTGAAAAAGAACTACAGAACTACACAATTTTCTTTCACGATCTTCGTGACCTTTACTGACATTCGAAAATAAAACGGCGCCACTTACTTCACTTGGACCAGGTTGAATTCTGCAACACAAACCTACTTGAACTAAGTTTTCAAATCATTAGGTTAAGCTGACGTAGTTTTTCCAATACCCTCATTCAAGAGCAGGTAGGTGATTAAAATAATATCTTTTTTTCCTTTGGAAGCTTTCGCCGCCGCATAAACCCATCACGGTTTCGCTCCAGTACTGAGATATACTGAAATACAAAAAACCTACTTTGCCTTTCTCTCGTAGATATCGCCAAGATACAGCGGCCTCGAAGAAAAGTAACGTCAGCTGACGACGCCAAAATAAATAAAATTACAGTAAAGCGCATATCAACAGATTCTCATTAGACCAGTTGGAATTCCGCTTAAGCTATACTTTTTCTTCGCTAATACATCTCATCACATGTACTTTTTTCGAACACGCGTCGTGTTTTAGGACATGCTCGACTATCACAGCTCTTGAATTTTCTCTCACCTGGGGGAACAGATACGACATCTGCACATTTTATCGGACCGGAAAAGATTTCTTCCGAATCCTTTAGAATGTGAACGACCGGTTCACCCGCGCCCCTCGTCAAAACCTCAAAAAGAAAACTCGAGATGAATATTAAAATGCGAATGCTTGAATTCAATTTAACTCACGAAAATCTCCATTTGGCCAGGATTGAAAACTTTCGTCGTCACACCGGGACGAACGTAAACTGCACCTGCAGCGTACATCAAATGACCATGTATCCGCTTCCATACAGTTGGACAGACGCAGTAGGAATCTGCGGCGTCTCGTAACCGCCGCTTAGAATGCTTTGTTTCCGCCATCATGACTGAAAAATAATCACCATCAATTTTCTTACTTTTAAAGAGGAATTATTCTCTCAAACTTCAGTTTTCAGCCAACAAAAACACATGTCCAAAAACAGAGGCACTCAAAATTTTCATAAGCCTATTGATCGCACCGACAATAACTGAAATCTCATTAAATTAATCAAACTTTTACTGCTGGGGAAAAATATATCGCATTTAAAAAAAAAGATGCGTCAGTTTCTACACATAAAATACAGTAATCTCGTTAGCCATGGGGACCAGTAAAAAATCTGCTTTGTGAAAAAAAATGCAATATGAAGTACCTCGTTCAACATTGTGGCTATTGGACAGGGAGCTAAAAAAATGAAAACGTTGCCAGCGATTATTCGTTGTAACGAAATTATACTGTACTACGTACTACGTTATACACGTCGAAGTTGATACAGGGGAACCAAGAAATCTTCTCTTTCAGTAGAGAAAAAACGTTTTTCAAATTTCTGAACTCACGGAAAACGCCAGCATCAACTGATATGTCATGCTCCTCTGGATGTGGTGTTCCAATCTCAGCAACTGGCCATTCTACTTCGTCTTCAAATGGCAAGTGTGCATCAATGACACCATTTATCCTGTCCATATCAACTGCCCTTGGTTTCTTTTCTGGTTTTAAAAAATAAAATAATTGCATAAAAACTTGTCTTTTTAAGCCCCGTGTAAAATGCGGGCACAGTTTCTCTCACTCTTCGTTTTCTTCGATTCATTTTCGGTTTTGCGCCTGTAACCTTTTTCGACTACATCCTCCACCAGACGAACCCCGCCGAAGAAGCCATTTCCGTCTCCAACTGGCTCGAAACATCGGTCCAATGCGGACAATGGATGCAGACGAATTCTCTTCGAACGTCTCAGTTCCGGATGATCCAGATCAGGAAAATCTGAAAGACTCGCAAAAATATTAATAAATTCTCGTACCGTCATTACTAAATCTTTAGAAGTTGAAATAGACCAATCATGCCTTATTATTGAATTACGTCAAATCCAAAAATTACACTCACGGATTCTGGTGCCAATCCATTCATCGGGCACAGATTTTTTTATGTTTTCGATCCTCTTGGTGAGATTCAAGTTCACATTCCGAATTGACAAACCTGGAAAAAGAAGGATTAACACTTATAAATACGATGATTCGTTCATAAGTTTTGTGAGCCTTGTTTTCCATGTTGGTTGTATGAAGATAGCAAGGATTTATTTCTTTTAGAATCCTGTATTGCTATATTTTATCCCTACATCACCACTTTTCCAATTTTTCAAAGCACTTCCTTTCAAGACAAAAACAAAATGGGAAAACCATCGTGTATCGAAGGATTTTTTGATAACACGAGAAGAGTTCCTCGAGCATGACTAAAAAATATTCGGAAAACTCACGTTTTCTTTCATGTACCAAAGCTTCTGTATTTTCGGCAGTTGTCGTTCCTGCTGTTTCGTCAGTTGTGGGCCCTTCAGACGGACGATAGGTATAATCTCGACTTGCAGTCAAATCTTCAGAGTCAGAAAAACCCTCCACATCGTCGTCGTTGCTGCGTCTCGCTGATCTTGAAGCAGACCTAATTGGACTCAAAGATGATTCCGGTTCAGGCGCGAATGAAACGCGTTTGGAAGCAGACTCCGGGTGCTTTTTAGCCAAAACCGGAATCTTCGACGGCGTACTGGATTTTCGAGATTCTTCAACTATCTTCCCTGAAAACAAAAAAATCGAGAATTTCAGAAACACGCAAAGCGAGTATAAATAGTTGAAACTAACCAATTTTTTTGGCTACCTTAGCGCTTTCCTGCAAAGGATATGGAGGCGGAGTTCCATCATGGTCGCTGAAACAGATAATTCCAAAAAAAATTGATCCTCGAAAGCTCATAAATTCCTGAAACTCAAATATATGCACTGAGTCTCAATTGGTAAGATTACAAATACGTTCAACGATACAATAAAAGAAACTTACTCCGCGTGAAATGGTTCGTCGAAATCATCTGCTTCGTCAACGATATTTCGTCCACGACGATTAGCCCCAGGTTTCTTCACTTGTGCTTTACTTGCTTTCGGTTTACTGCGAAAAACGTTTGAGCATCATGATCAAGTGAGAAATTACGGTAACTTGAGTTATTTACCTCGAAGCATTTCTTTTTTCATTGGAGTGATTGACCCGGGAAACTCGAGATTCCGCCTCTAATTCCCTTTCAACCGGCGGATCTTCGTTTCTGTTGGTGTTAAATGTAAGTATCACCAGGTGAATTAACGCCATTTATTTAAAATACTCACTCCGCCTCTTCAAAATGTCTGTCTTGCGTTTCTTTTCCTTTCGTAGTTAATTGAGCTCTTTTTGAAGACGCCTGGGGCTTCTTGGTCCGCAGTTTTCTTTTCCCGGCATTCCTGTCAAGTTTTTTGAATAAAAAATGCAAGTATAATAACCTGAAATTTTTGAAAACATGAAAAAGCTCACCTGTCCTCTTCTTCTTTTTCTTCTTCTTCTTCAGAAAATTCTACATCCGATCCACAAGGAGATTCCTTTCGCAGTTTCTTATTTCTTGTTTTGCTGAAGCAAAAGATAAAAAAAATGTCACGGTCACAGAAACGTTTGATTTAACAAACAGAATCGTTATCACACCTGACAGGAATCTTCGTGCACGGAGCAGGACGTTTGAAAACGGCCTCCTGTAATTTCTCCGGACCCTCACGTCTGCTTCAATTAAATTTCCCGAAATTTACCCAAACTTAATGACACATATAATAAAGGACAAAGAAAAACGGACCTGTTAGACGAAGTGATTTTGTCATCTCCCATGTTCTCCGTAGGATTCTTACGGGATTCTCTGTGATTCAAAAGGATAGAATGACGTTCCATAAGACTTGTTCACGGATTTATTGATCATACCTGTCGTTGAACGCATGTCTAAAAGCAGAAGGCAGTCCTTCATCGTCCTCCTCACTTTCACTTGATTCGTTCAATCTGTAACGTAGATTATCAGTATCGTAATAACGATTTTCATGCGCGAATATAAGAATGAAATCAAACATAACTTATAATGCTCGTCACATAAAATCAAACAGGAAAATTCTTAGAACTTACTCAGATATTCAGCTTGATACAGTTGTTGCCAAGTAATGGCTAACAAATATCGCTTGAATGACGAACATTGAAGTGAGAAAATCCAAGCTGTCTCTCGAAAGAAAAATATTTCTCACCTTTTTCTTCCCCTCCTTTCTGCGTTATTTTTTTGATTCATACCAGCTTTTTCTGCCGCAGGAATCTGCTCCGATACGGTGCTGAAAAAACAGATTTTTTTCAAATCATCATAATGTCAACAAAATATCTTATCTGGTAACTCACTGCTTCGTAGTCCCCGAAAGTTCTCCTCGTTGGTCTTGTTCGGATGGTTTTCCAGCCCCTTGAAACCTCCCTCTTCTATCAAGTGAAAAGATAAAAATTATTCATGAGTACACATTTCAATCCTTGAAAACACTGCTACAAAAAATGACTTCACCTGACTGGAACTTCGCTTCGAAGATTTGAAATATCGCGAGATAAATCGGGCACAACATCTTCAACTCCCAGTAACTGATTCTGACCACTTCGATCGTTCCTTAAATAGTTTTAAAAAAATAATGAATAAAAATTCAATACGAAATTTTTCAAGTGAATACCTGAGACTTTTTTCATGGAAAGGAATTCTCCTGGGCGTCAGTGTCTGGTTCCTCGCGGTTGGGACAGATGTATTTGACGCTCCACCCACTCTTCCATGATGAAAATGAAAATGTCATGTTATGTTATACGTGCTATTTCATGGAATTACTCGAGCATCTTTACCTTCGTGGACTCCCGCGAAGAGGAAGATTCTCATCGCCGATACGAATAATACTTATCTTCACACCGTCATTCCTGGGAGGAAGAAATGAATAAAGTTAGATACCCCGTTAAAACGATCATAAGACGCCGATGTTTCTACGAAGTATGTTGGAACCTCAGTTCATGGAATCGAGATATTTCATCAGAAAAAAATACGTGATTACTACTATTCTCCACACCTTCAGGCGTGGAAAGTAACCGAGATCATATATAGAGGGAAAATAAACCGAGACCAAGTTGGTGGAAATTAAGGCAAAAATATTCGAACAGACTAAGAGCATCCTAATGATTTTCCATCCCACGTGATTTCCTGGCGTTTTGGAAGGTATGTCATGGGAGAAATTTTTGAAAAGGCCATGTAATCCTTAATCATTCAATGTTCATGATTTTGTACTGCATTCAATTACGATCATACGCGTGGGTGAGCCATATCTACAACTTCCAACATTCACATTATTCCTGACGCCCGTAATTGTTAACATAAATCCAGTCAAAAATCACGTGAATACGGTGAGATGCACTCGTTATCACTCATCTCGAATACCTTCTTCCAGGAGACGGTCTCGTTTCAGGGGATAGTTGAACGGGAATCGGTTCTTCATCGAAGTCCTCGATAATTTCTGGAACTATTCCCGTTGACTTTCGCAAATTTCTGCAAGAATTGAAAATCTCGAAATAGCCTTCACCACAAATCCTAATTACTCACCTAACGGCCGAGTGCTCAGAAATGGGATTTTGTGGTGTGACCTCAGCGTCGTTCGTTTCATGGTCAGCATTCGCACTGAAATTGTGAATAGACTTCTGTTCAGCCGCTACCGTTAAAATAAAATCAAATTTTCAAATCTCTGCGGTACGGATTAGATTTTCATAGCAAAGAAACCAGAGTACAGTGGATTCAGGAAAAAAGTCGTTACACTGACATTGTCTGTGAAAGTCGGATGGAGCGAGGAGTTTCGTCGGTTATAGCATCCGGTTTTGCTACAAGCGAATCTTCGTTCGCCGAAACGATCATCTTCTCAAGCACTACGCTTCTGCGATTCCGTTGATTGTTACTGAAGCGCTTTGTTCCCATTTTTTGTACTCCACGTCGCCGAATATCCGACAAACTCCTGAAAGATAAAATAAACCCGACTTCTGGGGTAAAAAAAAAAAGGCTACAATCGGTAGAGACCATGAAGAATACTCACGCATTGAATGCAACTTCAGTTAAAGAGTAGTCATCCACCTTCAATGCAATGAAAGGTGAGTTGGAACTAGTAGAGGCCGTCGGACCGTCCGGGAATTGAGATGGTTTGCCACGCATTTTTCTAAGCTTCTCTCGTGCGCTATCCAGCTCGGATTCTCGGTTGGATTTGGTGGTTCTCGACGTGTTCTCCGAGCTTCCACTCGTGGAATTCCACAAACTGTCATTCTCGAGCGCTTTTTCAAACTGCTTGTTCCTCCGTTCCGCGCGTTTTTTCCTGTCGGGATGTTGCACTTCAAGTTGGCTGAATCATGATAAATGACCGAAATCTACTTACGTGATCACTTCCTGAATTCTGTTTCGCATGGCTGGTCGTTGAGCGATTGCAAATGGACATAAGAATTTGCGAGGTGAAATATGATTAAAAACCTATGCCAGAAGTTTTCTACAATGAAAACAAATAGGACACCGGTCATCATGTACGCGCCGCTGAGTGGCGTCTAAAAAATAACTACCGAAGAGAGAATTCGACTTCATATCACGCAAATTCCACTTTAATTCAGACTATTCCGTACTCACGCATACTTTAGGATACATTCAGAATTCTGCATAGACCGATTGAGCTTGGCGCCTAAACAACGGATATCCGAAAGTACAGCCACATGTTGGACATACTATAATTCAGCTAAAAGAAAATCCTCCATTATCACAGAGCTTTTCTCATTCCATCCGTTCTCTTCGCTAACCGAAGCCCTACCCGCGCGAGATGAGCTACATTCCAGCAATATCTGACATTATCCATAGCTAAAGGAACAAAAGTAATTAGTTTCAATAATCTTCTCAAAACTGTGTATCCGCAAATCGCATCCGTAACGGACGCCAGAAGTCGACGCAAAGCAGGCCACAGCCATTCAAGCTTTTAACTTCGCGAACAAAGTTTTAAAAGCGGAAGGTAGGTGTCACTCTAAACATTTTTACTGTCTTTCTATCTCCAAGTGTCCATCAAAGATGCACAAAATTAAAACATAGTGGATGCAATATTTAAAAATTTAAACCTGTGAGTAATGCGCAGAAATCGATAATTTCACCGCTGGAAGGACATAAGAAGCGAAAAGTTTTACACCAAGGCCAGTCCAGCGGTGCGATCCAATAGCATAGGAGAGTTGCCAACTCAGTACCCCGACGCTCCTTTCTTATTCTTCGTATCCCTGCAATCCGACACGGACATGCCCGTCGACGAATCATGATTAAAACTATTACGAGCCCCCTCTTTTCTGGTGTAATGGAACTGGGCCCCGCTTTTGATGCTCGATTCAGAGGTGAGGAAAAGTGGGAGGGGGAAACCGGGGCAAAAGAGGCGGGAACAAAAGCACGGAGGCAAATCGACCCAACAAAACGCGCGCGTATCTGCGCCACTCTCCGCTCGCCCGCCCAAAGCCACTACCCTTGCGGATATTGTGGATGTTGTGATGGTGTAGCGGACCCATACCTGAGCCAGTGTTGTACGAACCGCGGGTGGGCGAAATGAACTGTCCATTATCCCAAGAAGCTTGTCACAGTGACCTAAGTGATGCCCGAAAATTTTCCCGGCCCTTCAAGGAGTATATTGGGTTATGCATGATTAACTTTACCTTCTACTTGAACATTTCTCCATTGTTTGTCTATTGACTACGACTTTTGCACATAAAATTTGCTTAGTGAAATTAAACAAGAAATCATTTCACGGGGTAAGGTAGATGTTGATGGTGAACAGTTGAAGGCGCACCAACTGTTATTGAAGGGAAATACTGTAGCAAAGAACATTTTGGACCTTTTTTGTACGGCCATCTGCTGACATATAAACTCAAGCTATCACAACTTTGATTGCTTATTACATCTAACTTGGGTTTCACCATGTGACCCAGCAACAAATTTGCTTTAGTATAGAAAAATGTATTGACTGACTTTAAATGTATAATTGTATGCCACCAATTTCCTTCCATTAACTTGTCCAATGCTAAATGAACACACATAAAATTAAAAAAAAAAACTATGTACTGTACAGTAAACAAATCAGCTAGCAGTCCCAAAAATAATGAATATTTTGAGATTGAAAACAGATGACCTCAGTTAAAATTTGGCATTGCATTTTATGCATAAGAAGGTCATCTAAAATTTCAACAATTATTCAAAGCAATAACTCATAGCTGTCTAGAGCTCCAGGAAATCGCACTGCAATAAAAGTCTTTCAATTTTGAATAATCCACGATGACATATACAGCGCATCTTGGAATGTTTGTTCCTCAGTTTTCAACTAGACATTGGATAAAATAAATTGCCCATAACTCTCATCAGCAGGAAGGCTAGCTGGTCAACATCCACTTTATAGTCCCCAGTCTACAAACATTTGTTCTCTGTCAAAAATCCCTTGGTTAAAAAGCCAAAAATTCAATAATAATAATAAGAATGTTTACATTGAATAGGTTATGTTTGTTAACCATCAAGGGTTGACTGTAGTTTCATAATCAATCAGACTCATGTACAAGTAGAAGGTAGCAAAGAAAATGTGTTTGTCTTGTTTAATGTGTGAGCTGAAGTCCTCCATACTGTCCTGTGTATGCATAAACTCCATCAATCAAGTATAATTTTTTTGCACTGCTCTTATTCATCCATAAATATTTACACTTTTCTGATAATTTGGAAAAATTATATACATCAATAAGTTTACATTCATTGGACAAGACTCCTACATAGAGAGGACAAGATAAAGCAAGCAACTGAACCAGAATTTGAATGCAGTACGGGTTACTCACGCTTTTGCAGAACTGATGTGTGAAGCATGCAATACATTTTCAATTTTGATTTGAAGACTAATTTCATAGATTTTTTTTATCCAAGTACTGTATTGCGATGTAAAGGACTGTAATTTATTAATTGTTTCAACAGCACTTCTATAATGCTGGTACAGTGTTGCCTCAGTTGATGAACTAGGATCTGATATAATGAGACACCCATCATCAGGTATATTAATTAGGTAAGTTATGGTATGGTGACCTTGAATGGAATGGCTGATCTGTTTGAGATCCCTTTAAAAAATTTTCACAAGTTTTCCAATGCATGTACAGTCAACCCCCGTTTAACCATTAAAAAATGATTTAACCTAAGTAAATGTATTTCTTATATTTAACCCGTTGAGCATGAAAAAATTATTTGACCTAAATAAACTAAATAAACCTAAGGTATCCTATATGAACTCAACCTAACCTAATAAATCTGACCAACCCAAAATTAACCTAGCCCAGCAAATTTTAATTATTTTCTCTTCAAGGGTGGCAATAATTTAATTTAATTTCTCAATTTAAAGGTGTGTGAGATGCAGGAGACAAATGTCCCCAAGAAGCAAAGAATGTTAGATACCTCGGCTACAGGAAAGCTAGTGGGGGTAGAACCCATGTTTTTTGTTCATCCTTCCCTTGATAAACTGCCAACCCTGGTAAACATTGGTGGTTTAATGGGGTTTTACTGTACATAAAAAGCTTTTTACAATTAATATGGCTAGTATAACAAATTCATTTCAAGATCCCTGCAGTGTATCCACAAGGTTATTTGAGTCTTGATAATTTAATGTTACACCAAATGTTCTGTTGTTGACAATGATTTTGTTGCAGTGAGATTATATATACATGTACTGTAAATTTACCCTCAACATATTTGTCTTAATCTCCAAATCAAAGAAAAATCATGCTCTGTGCAACCAAGAATTTAAGAATGAACTTTTATCCACCTATTCACAAATTATGCTGACAGCCACATTTCTCCCAGCATTTGGATACTGTACTTTTTATGGGGGAATGACAATGCATGCGCTTTATTATCCAAAGAAATATTTGTAAACAATATTTTTTTTTCAAATATTAGATCCTGCTATGTATAATAAATTGCATGGAAAAAGTGATTCATTTTCAAGATTAATATTTTTGAATTGGTGGATAGAAGTTCATTTTCAAATTCTTGCTTCCATAGACCCTCAGATCATCCCAATTTTTGTAGGAAAACTTTAAAGTAATGGTTTGAAATTAATTTATTTTATTTTCTCTTCAGCATCTATTTTTTTCATGTATTAAAATTATCTGGAAGGGGATCTCAAATGGATCCAGCACTATGCAAATACAGTCAACCCCCATCTAACAGACTTGATTCGTGCAATGGACGAGTCTGTTAGACAAAAAGTCCTTTACATGAATTCAATTACATAAAAAATTAAAAATTTCAATTTTCAACACTTCTTCTTCTCTCAAAGAGGAATGAGGGTTTTTATAACCAGGTGCTTGGACTGGGTCAGGAAGAAATCAGGTGATTTCTTCCTGGCTCAGGATTGGCCAATTCAGGCAAAATTGAAGAAGTGATAACCACTTCTTGTCCTTGAGTGAGGCTCAATGGCCTCAGAAATACAACAAGTTTTTGGGTCCAGTTTCAACGGGATGCTGGAGCTGCGTCGCTTTGGGCCGCGACACCAACGCCCCCTTGTAAAAAAACAAACAAACAAATGAACTCGTTATGGGACATTTCTTGAATACCCTGCTACACCGGCGTGACAAGGGGTTTCCCCTCTGTGCTCTTATACTGACGACGCGATCCAACGATTGCATGCGGCTCCATTTATCGCGATTATCTTTGTCATGGCGACGCTGTCGCTGATCCTCGTCACGCCATTGTTGAAAACCTCCCCCTTCGTCACAAGAGCAAAAAGTAAAATAAAAAAATAAGGCACAAAATATGCCGACAATTGCGCCTCAAATATTTATAATAAGAAAACCCCGGCATTGTCTGACGAGTTCTTTGTGTGCCAGACAGGAAACGGTTTCGGCGCTAATGAAGCCACGATTTCTGTCGTTGCGCTTTTCCTTGATAATTTTCCCCGAGAATGACACAAGAATTTTCCGAGGATTTCCTTCGAAATGAATCCCGAGGGCAATTAAGCAACGAAAAAGAGTCTCAAGGTTTTTTTTTTTGGAACGTTCAGCGAAAAAAACATCTGTTCACGTGGGTGTGAAAACACCGTCAGCGTTTTTCTCTTTTCTTTTCCCCCGCGTCGGAAATTGAGTAACGAAATAATTGTGTTTGCTGGGCCAATTACTATTTTTTCCCCTCCGAAAAATCCCCCATTAAACAACGGAAAAAATGTCAGGGTGTTGATTATTCGCCATCAACAGATGCGGACTCGCCCCGGGGAAAAGATGACTGACAGGTTGCTGCATTAAAAAACGCTTTTTTCTAGAGATATTCTTCTTCGGAATTTTTAAAATTAGGCCTTAGAAAAAGAGGGAGATTGAATTTCTTTTAAATCCACACATTTTTCCCATTACCGGATTCAGGGATCCTGAAAAAGCTTGCAGAAAAATATTCATACGAACGGCAAAAATCTATAGGACTTCGGATTTTTCTATTACCCACAAAAATTATTTTGAATACTGCAGTCTTAATCTAATAAAGCTGCATGAATACAGTACAAAAATTTATACGAACTACTCATATGTGGGAGTTAACTCAGTTTTACGTCAGAAAAATTCATATGAGTTTCGAAAATCTATTCCCGACATCAAAAATATTTAAAAAATACCCAATCGAAAGTTAGGAATCTCTTTTGAATAAATGGATAATATCAGAGATAAAGAATTGCATACATACGCGAAGTCTGGCGAAAACACTGCATTTCCTTGAGTTTACAGATTTTTTGGGGTGTTTTCTCTGCAAAATTTTCGAGGTGTCCGAAAAATTTCACTTGTTATAAAAAAAAAGTTCTAGGATCATGGAAACTTTCGGTATCGACGTTCAAGGATTTTCCAGTTGTCTATTGCTAATTTTAGGCATGTGAGGATGAACAATTTTGAATCACCAAATTCCTGATTTCCAATCTTGAAAATTCTGTAAAACTCTGAAGCTTTGGTTAGAATTTCTTTTAGCTATTCTCTAAATACATCTTACAGGTGGATTTGGTTTTAGAGAAAAATGATTGCAGCATCCAAACTTTTTTATGCAAAAAAAAATTCAGCAGACAGTTTGTCAATATGGCTGTAGGGTTTCAAGTGGATTGCCAGAGCGGCTTGCAGCCCAGTTAATGCAGTTTCCATGGCGACAATTGCTTTTTCCCCTACATGTATAGGTTTGATACCAATCATCACCTCCCCCTTATTTCCCTGGGCTTTTTTTTATTGCTGTCATCATCATGGCTGCAGTTCGCCAGGTTCCAAATGACTACCAGCGATCTGAAGGTTTGGAGGCGAAGGTCTGAATTACTAGCAATATAGTCTCGGAAATGGTATTTCTGAGACTATCCTCACACATGCCGTATTTTTGACAGACAGTTGAACCTTGCTGATTCAAATTTGATTCCCGAAAAATTACTCAGTATTTTTCAGCTGAGGAATTTGGCTTCATTCCAGTGGATTGATCAAGGGAAATTATTTTCTGGCCAAATTATTAACCCTTGTGGGGCAAAGTTGGAATATTTTTGCAAAACGGTGTCCCCTTGAGGGCAGCAAATTTTTAACCCTTGGG